CCTAATCATCATTGCTGCTCTTCTCTGCACTCTTTCTAAAGTCTCATCATCAAATATGGGGAATGATCAAGCAAAAGGGAGGGGGGAGAAGGGGAATCAACTGATTAATAGCACAGCCTGAACTGTTACGTTTTGCTCACCTTTAATTTAGACTGCTGCTCCAGCTGTAGTGTCTGTTCCTGTAGCTGAGCTAAGCCTAGGGCCTCTTTGGCGTGTCCTGAAAAGAAAATATTGCCCATCAGTTGTTTTCCATCATTCAAAAAAAAAAAATTCTTACAAACCACTCCCACCTAACAGTGATTTTGTCCATGATAATTTGTTGCAATTCTGGTTGCCCAATGGTTAAACTGGATGCAGGTAAGCCCTGCTGCAAATTAGACAACGTTGTCCGAACCAGAGATTCTGGCTTGTGCATTGTACAAAGAAGAGAAATAATAAAACTATTGTTTTTTTTAAAAAAACAACTCAAAAGGATGTTCTTTTCTGGTTTAAATTTCGGCTGCTCCTAAAAATACATTTGAGTTAAAAACTCTTTTGGCCAGCCCTTCCTGGCTTAAGCCACACTAGAAGCTGCTGAAGAAAATCACATGGGAGCTAGAAGGTCAAAGGTCATTGGTGCCTCAGTGGCTCAAGGCAAGGAGACAAGGAGTGTCTGTGTGCAGATTCCGCCTTGTGGTAAATGATAAGATCTGATTCTCGTCCAAGCATTGAGATGGCTTCAAAGCCACCAATGTCACTTCTCAGGAGGAGATCCTGGCAAGGGCTTCCCAGCCAAGGGCTTCAGTTCAAATAGTCTTCGACTTACAACAGTTCGTTTAGTGACTGTTCGAAGTTACAACAGCACTGAAACAAAGGACTTAGGCTCAGTTTTCACACGCACCGTGGTCACGTGATCAAAGTTCGGGCGCCAGGCTCATATTTATGACGGTCGCAGCGTCCCAGGGTCACGCGATTCCCCCTTTTGTGACCTTCTGACAAGCAAAGCCAATGGGGAAGCCGGATTCACTTAACGACCGTCTTACTAATTTTAACAACTGCAGTGATTCGCTTAACAAACGCGGCAAGAAAGGTTGCAAAACGGGGCAAAACTCACTTAGCAAACGCCTCGCATAGCAACACAAATTTTGGCCTCTAATGTGATCGTAAGTCGAGGACTACGAATGTGATCGTAAGTCGAGGACTAAGAATAGAGCTGGAAGGGACCTTGGAGGTCTTCTAGTCCAGCCCCCTGCTCAACCAGCCACGAAGATCCACTGAGCTTTTCCTCGGGGCTAGATCCAGGAGGGGGTGCCTAGCCAAAGGATCCCTGTTAATCTAGTCACGGGATCCAGAGGATCTCCTCCCAGCAGGGGATCCAGGCAAGAGATCCCGCCCGCCCCCTCCGACTCACGGGAAGCGTCGAGCTCTCGGGCGGCCTTGGCAGCGCGCTCCAGGCCGGTGGGATCGAAGTTGCTCCATTTGTCCTTGGGGCGGCTCCCCTCGCCCGTCCCCTCTTTTGGTCCCCCGCCGGGCGGAGGCGGCAGCGGAGGTAGCCCGGCTCCGGGGCCTGCGTCCCCGCCGCCGCCGCCGCCGCCGCGGTTCAGCCCGAAGAGCCACGACATGTTCCCTCACAGGCGCAGCCCAACCGGCAAGCTGCGAATCCCCCTCAACACACACGTGGACCCCGTGCCGCCGGTTCTGCGCAGGCGCCGCCCCGCCTCTTCCGTTCTCCGCCGCTGCTCATTGGCGGACAGCTCAGCCGAGCCATAGAGTCGCGCTGTCGTAGAGGGCAGAGCGAGCAAATAACCTCCCTTTTCTTCTTCCCGCCCCCACCTCAGTCACGTGCGTGAAGAGGGTAGCGATCGCAAAAAAAAAAAAAGAGGCGGGAACTCCGGGCCGATGGGGGAAAGAAAAAAAAGAAAGAAAGAAAAAAAAAAAAAAGAGCACGGCGAGGGGACGGTGTGCCAAAAGGACCAATCTTAGTCAAGCGCCAGTCGTCCAGGAGGCGGCCCTTTCACCGTAGCAACGGGGATGTTGAGGCCGTCGCTAAGGGAGACTGAGGCGATGCTTCAGGTAGGCCGCGGATGGCGGAGTCGGCCGCTTTGCGAGTGCGAGGCCGCGGAGCCTCCCTCAGGTAATTGGGCTTTTGAAGGAAATTAGGGAGAGGACCACCGTGGCGGTTTCTGAGGAGATTCCCGGCTGGGGAGGATGGGAATTGTAGTCCGGTCCGGAAGGTCTTGAAGGCGAGGGAGTATGGACCCCTGACAGAGAGTGGTTGGATTCCAAGCCCCATTCCCTCCAGCCACCTACCCACCCCCGTGTCCATGTTGGCTGGGAATGATGGAGGTTGCGGTCCTAGCCCTAGAAAGAGAGGGTGTATTTTAATGCAATTGTTTTATTTTACTTATACATGTCTCAACCACTTCAAGTGTAAATACTTGGGTCATTCACAAAGTTGTTGTAAACTGAGGTACTTGGCGCCTCAGATTTTCTTTATTTCTTTATTAAACAATTTTATATGGCCGCCCAACTCATTGACACATGAGCAATTTTCGCACTCAGGGCCTTTCTCAGCCTTGTGAGAGGGGAAAAAAAAAAGCTGTTCTCAGTCCTACTTTGGTTGCTGCAAGCATAAAAATGCTTATTTAAAAAAGAAAAGAAAAGAAAAGAAAGGGCCCCAGCTATGTCTTTTGGGGTGAGCTAAGATAAGGAAAAAAACATATCAGAATAGGATAATTCATAAAAAATATATGGAGACGGTTGTTGTTTCTGGATTAAGTTTAACAGCCAACATTAAAGTGATGTCATTTTGTTCTTTCTTCTTTTTCTAGAGAGGCCTCAAAGGAGCTCCTTGACAACAGCCAAAAAACCAACACAACCCACAACGTTGACTTTCTAAACCTAGGGAAACGCCCGGCTCTTCATGGGGATGAGCAGAGAAAATCATGGTTGTTTGAGGAAGAAAATGGTAAGAGTGCTGAGTGGATCCAGGTTCGAAGCCTCGTAGTTCCGGGGAGCATGCAGAGTGACTTTGAATGGCCTGCTGTCTCTCAGCCTCAGGAAGACCACAGGGTCTGTAAGGTGGGGGAGTGTTTCAAAACAAGCAAGATGGTGTCCACCATTTTGCTTGTTTTGATCTTCTGTGGACTATACAGGTAGTCCTCAGCTTACGGCCACAATTGAGCCCAAAATTTCTCTTGCTAAGTGAAACATTTGTAAATGAATTTTGCCCCATTTACGACCTTTCTTGCCACCGCTGTTAAGTGAATCACTGCAGTTGTTAAATTATTAACATGCTTGTTTCCCCATTGACTTTGCCATAGGGATGCTGCAACGGTGGTATGAAAAGTGGTCATAAGTCTCTTTTTTCAGTGCCATTGTAACTTCGACGGGTCACTAACTGAATAGTTGCAAGTCAGTATTCAGTATTCACTATTCAGTATTCCTGAAAATCTTGAAGTCCTCAAAAGAAAACTGTTTCTCTCTCCCTCTTAACAGTCAGTGGTGACATTTTGGCTGCCTCAAGATCCACATTTATTTCTCAGTATTGGAAAAAAAGAGGGAATGATATAAACGCATAAGAAATCCAACACAGTGTCTCCTTAAAAGCGAGGCAACAAAGAATAATAATTGGCTGTCATTTTGATTGAAATTTGGTAGTCTTCATTGTGGGCCAGTTCATATTTTCAGTCTTCTAACTGCATGGATTTTTTTTCCCCCTCTTCTCTCATCCCACTCTGTGACAGGGATCTCCACCATTGAAGACTTGGAAGAAAGCTTACGAAAACTGAAGGTTCAGGTGGACAGCTTAGCCTCCAGTCTCACAGTCCATCCAGATGGAGATGACACTTCTGCTCTTGAACATGTGGCTGACCCAGGTCCCTTAAGTTCCAAGTGGCACCCATCAGGGCCACCCACTGAGGCTGAATGCTTACTGAAAGCAAAGCATCTTGCGAGACCATTAGAGAATAACTTGAATTTGATGGATTGGGCCATTCCAACCTTAAATTCACCCCCACTGAACGAAAATTTAGGATTATTTGGCACTGCGACTGTGAGTCAGAACTCTCCCCTCTTGGGGGATCTTGCTGTCCCTTTGAAACTTGGGGCCCCTCACGTGATTGGCGTCAAGTCTTTGCTGCCCCCCACGGTTCCAGTCCGAGCTTGCTTGCCAGAAAGATCCTCTTTCACGTTCCGCAGAGGCCGTTCACTTAGTCACTCTGAGGTTACCCGCTCCTGCTCCTTCTCTCCGGATGCCAAACGCCCGCGCTGGCTCCGGTCACGCTCTCAGTCTCCGAGGCCGGTCTGGAGACCCACCTCGGCTAAGGCTAATGCCTGTGCTCAACCTCCGCCTCAGCTGGGGAAGCCTAGGGGAGTCAGGAAGAAAAGCATATCAAGCAGACAATCACGGTTGAGGTTCTTCAGGCCAGGAACATTAGCATCGAAATCCTGGCCTTCCACTAAGGCAGTTGGACAGAGGACACCAAGGGAGTCTTGGAGTCCTTACAGTTTGGCTTCTCCGGTGATCTCCTCGCCCACGGCAGAGGAGATCAACAAACGGTAAGAAGTGGCCTCTAAGCCTCTAACAGACTTGACTCGGAAATCAGAATTGAGAACTAGTGAGGAACGTCTGGCTTCATAGTATATGGTAGTTTTGTTACCATACCCTGAAGGAGCAGTTTCCTGGGATGGAATGATAATAAAAGTTGAGCCTCAGCTGAGATTATCTGAGAAAGCAACCAACTTCAAGGAGCTCAAGAGAGGGAACAAGCCTGGGATTAATGTTTCTTATTATTTAATGCCCCCAGTTTTGTTTTGTGGGTTTTGGGTTAGAGTTCGTTCGTTTGTTTAATTTACTGACCTCCCATTTTACCGCAAGATAACTCTGGGTAGATTACAATATTTTAGCATTTTAGTGCCAGCTGCCTGTGGTTGTAACATTTATTTAACGTTTCTCGCTGTTTTTATGTTTCCTTATAGCTTTGCATACCATCCAGAGTCCGCTGGAATTGGGCGGCTAATACTTTTTAAATAAATAATAACACGTGAGCGCGGTAGTGTGTGTTGAAACTTCAGTTCCCAGACTATTTTAACAACAACAAAAAAAAGACTGGAATTGGTTGTCCTAGGAAATTTCCCCAGCTTTTTGGCAAACAGCAAAATACTTAATTGGGCCAGAAAATCTTTTACTAGAGTGTCTCCTGCCTGTTTCTTGTGCAATAGTTCTTTGCAGCCCATAAGCAACAAAATAAAGTCGTGCGTAGAGCAGCGTTTCGTAGAGAGCAGTTGACCTGGAGAAACTGCAAGACATTTAACTCTCCTTTTTTTATTCGGGGTTCAGATTCCTGCAGACGCTTTCTGAAAGCACGATGGGGAGAGACCTGATTGAAATGTCTCCGTACCAGAAAATGCTGGCTCGTCTCCGACTCCAGCGCCTGCGTGTGGAAGAGGGCTGGCTGTTGGAAGTAAAGAGGCAGCAGGAATTGGAACGGACCCGTGGCCCCAGACCCAAGTGGTGAGGACACTCTCTCCAAGGCTTGGGCCGGAGCTGTTGATTCTTTGGATTGGGGGCTGAGAGTAAATTCGGCAGGGCCATGTGGAAATTTAGTGAGATTTGCTGGATCCATGAGAGATATTTGGGACATATGGATTCTGTGGGCAATGTTCATTTGTAAGCAGAGTGTCAGCAAGACCCCTCTGCGGCCTGACTCAAGCCCCTTTCTCCTCTTGTGGTTTTAGGTACGAAATGAGGGACTCTCAATTCCACTACGAAGCCCACAAGAACAACGAGCTTCTGAGAAGCAGCCCAGAGATACAGTCTGTCTGTGGTTACAGGGAGGCCCTATCAAGAGCATCGAATGAGTTCCAGCAGCAACAGAAGCCCACTTCCACCTCCCTCAAGGCCTACTGGTAAAGCGCCGAAGGGCATCAGAGGAGATAGAAGAAAGGCAGGTCAGGATAAACAGGGCATTCTTCTGTTCCCAGTGAATGATAGTGGCTTGTTTGGAGGGATGGCGGTGTGATTCCGAGTGTCCAGCCCAGCCATTTTTGTGCCTTGTTCTTGATCACTCAGAGCTGATTTAAACCTTGAGAAGTGCCACAGGACAGGGTCTCTTTAGTGGAATGAAATACAATGAGCAAAGATTCCTTGCTAGAGAAAAAGCTGACCAGATGTCCTGGTTTACTGGGGAGAACTACATAAAACATCTGACATCTCTGTGTCAAAGGCTATTTTCTGGCTCGGTGTGTGCAGATTTGATGAGTGTGTGTGTGTGCGTGCATGTGCCTTTTTCAAGACATGATTTGATTATTATTGCCTGCAGTCTCAAACTAGTTCAGCAAAGAACATTCACTTTGGATTTTCTCTCATTTGTTTTAACTTTTTGATTAGGAAGGCACTCTGAATAAAAAAAAACACCTTGATTACCGATACTTCTTTGGCTCAAAAAAAAAAAAAGCTAAATATTACACCAGAAGAAAAAAGCCTGTACATTTTTCATCTTTTATAGAACGCTTTTATGCCTGGTTGCTTTCGTATTTCAATGTAGTGGTAGTTTTTAACATTTTTTTAGGTTTATTTAATTCTTAGATTTGCAAAGAGAAGATATTTAACCTGTTACTGACATGCCAGAGGGGTTCTAGATGTATTTCTTTATTTACTTTTATGGCTGGCCCACAAGCATTTTCGTATCGTCCTTGGTGAGTAACTGCAGAAACTTTTTGACATAGAATGAATCTAGCCGGGCAACCAAAACCATCTCCTTACTAGCAAAAATTATTCTGTGACGAATTATCTTCATTGATCAATCAATGCCCGTGCCCTGAATTTGTGAGTGAAACGGCAGATCTGAAAAAACAAAGGCAGCCTGCATTAACAGCCAAGATTCCTTTGAAATAGCTATTCAGACCAGCTTTCCCAAACTTCTTTGCACATTTACGGAATTGTTTATCCAATCAATCCTTTATTCCTTAATAGGATAGCAGTCTTGAATACATATGTTCCAAAACATTTGCATTTTATCCAGTTTCATACTTAACAATTTGCCGGTTGACAAGAAAATCCACACTGGCCAAGGATGGATATCTTTCTCTGCCAATCAAATTTGTTTGTAGAAGTTCTCTTACTTGTCTGATTTTGCTAGCTCACTCAATGGAATGATACTTGTTTTTATTATTTTCAAACTTGGAGATGTTTAACTGGTCTTCTACATTCACTGTACAGACATCATTAACACTGGCAATTTCCTAGCAAGCTAATTAAAACTACAGACTTGATCAGCCAATTAACAAATCTCTTCCCTCCCTTTTTAAACTTCTGCTCCTCTGCGCCTCCCCCTCCCACTGCATGGCTGTTTACATACTTCTGTTGGCTTGATCTTTCCTGGCATGACACAGGATCTGAGTGCCCTCAAGTACCCTGTAGGAAATTAAATCTCTCTTTCTTTCCCCAGTTTCTGCTCTCCAAAAATCCCGTGTCGACAGATCACAATGTTCCCGAGTCTCATACCTTGAAAAATGAACCGTGAATGCCACGGCATTGCATTTGGTGGGACCGCATCCAAAAGAAAAAAAAATATTCCAAATTACTTGGCTCTTTGTTCTCTCTTTAATTCACCTTATTTCAAAGGATACATTGCAATGTTTCTGAAGTAAGCTGGGGAGACAATGGCTAGTGTATTAGTAAAACCGTACATGAAAGAATTACAGAGAATATGAAATGGTTTCTGACTCGCAAGACGATTATGACCATCGCACACATTCTGAAGCAGGAATGAAGCCACCGTCAGCTTTCGGGTTTCAAAACAAATAGCAACAAGCCACAGTGTTACTTGCATTATTACAATTGTCTCTTTTTTAAAAAAACAAAACAAAACACTGCCTTTCTGTTACCTACTTTGGGCTGAGAAATTTCACTGTTAACTGGGCTAATTCAATTCTCATGCAGGTGGAGGCTCACATGATGAAGCCGTAAAACAAAACATGCATGGAAAAACAAGCCTTTCAGGATTCTAGGTGAACTTCATCTTGAGGGGCTAGTTGTCTAAGATGCAGGGATTTATGGCAGAGACCTTTGCTTGCGTATCTTAGGTCCACCATCTCCAGTTGGGTGGTCCCCAAATCTATTGGGGTCCGCCTCCCAGGATGGTCATGATAATACTGTTATTTTTCAAACAAGTTTGTTTGCTGTGTAACGAAAGGCCCCAAGCTCCAGTTGACTGGCAGTGCTGTATAAGCTGGTTAGATGATCTCAAAGTCCAATTGTCAACTTGCAAACTACTTTTTCCCCAAAGGGCCAACACAGCTTGGGAACAACGTCTCCGGTGCCCAATACTTTTTGTGAAAAAGTGCTTCAGGTCGTGTCTTCTGAAGAGAACATCTGATTTTGCTGGATGATCTCAGGTTTGAGGCAGCCCAGCCACCTCTCTCACATTTCCAGAAAAGTACAGTACGTCTTCTGCATAGGTCACAGTTCAGTTCAGGCAGTCCCAGATGGATCCAGCCATGTGTAATGATCACTGCGTTTGCACAATACACACCACCTTGTTCCCAAAGTGACCCCTCTGAGCGTCTTAGCTATCCTTTGATATCTATCTTTATCTCTGTTTACGAGGTAATCGTCTCTGCTACTCCCCAGTATCTATGGCAGGGGTGCTCCATTTTATTTCCCTAAATGATTGCATGCCCCACAAACAAATGTAATTTCTGATGCCACCCAAAGTAGAACCGGGATTAAGCATGTTCATTGGCCTGCTAGTTTACGGTTCAGTAACCGTATCTCTCAATTTTATTCGGTCACATATAATTATATCCTGCCATTGTTCTGATCCACCTATTTCTTGGAAAGTGGATCCTGGCCCACTACTCAAAGGTTAATGTGACACTCAGCCTGAAGAAGAATTTTACATCCTGGCAGTCTTAACTATTTCCTTCCAAGAACAGAGCAAATGCATAAATAAAATGGGAAATACCGGTGGCCAGTGGTTTTGCTCTCAGTCTCAAGGAAGTCTTTGGAATTCTATTATACGTGCTTAATTCAGATGGCAACAGTGTTCAACAACTAAGATTTGGGGCCACTACCAAGGAATCATTTTGGATCTGCTTTGTGCTTCTAATTCCTTCCCCCACCCCCGCCATCAAACTGCAATAGCTTTTGAAGCAGAAGGACGTTCTTAGAATTCAGAATGCAGATTAGAAGGTGAAAGTTCTCACTTGCAGGTGAGAAAGGAACCAAGATTCTTTTGCTTTCTCTCCTCCCTCCCATTTCATACAAAACACAAATAAATAAGAATGCAAAGGAAGCGGGAGACGATTCCCAGTCTTTAGCTGGAATTCCAAGGAAAGGAAACAAAACTTCCGGTGAGCAAGGACTCCTTTTTCTAGCAAGATCCAATATCCCCGTGAAGCTGTTTTGTTTGTAACTGAGCCAAATTGGGGCATTTGTAGGCAAGTCAGTTGCAAAAGAGAACAGGGTGGTTAGCCGGAGGTTGAAAAGGCTTGGGACCGTGATCTTCCTCATCCTGGTGTCTTGATACCTTTGTCCCAGGCCATCCTTGCCTTCTGACCCACGAAAATGTTGTTCGCAAACTCTCACGCTCTCTGCCGGTGCCTGTAGCGACCTGCGGCTGAAGCTGGAAAGGGAAAGAACCAAAGAATCAACCTTCGTCAGATGGACGAATCAGGTTGCCTTGCAGAATACGCTGAAGGAGGAGAAAAGTTTTTTAAAAAATGACAAGTAGCTACATAAAGTGAAAAGAAACTCAGGAATTAGCACTATAACAAGGCTTCTGCAGAATTCCCTATGCTGTGTACCCCTGCTGTGATTAAACTTCTATTTCACAGGGAATTTTTCAGGGACGGCCACCAGGGGGAGCGCGTTCCTTACAAATTCCTTATCTGAATTCCTTATCTGCTCCATCAGTGACACTGGGCTACACTGCATTTCGTGTGGGATTTTTTAAAAAAACAACCTTGTGCCATGTTCTTCCTGATTAAAACTGGAAATGCTTGGCTACCTGCCAACTGGAGACTTTTGGAAAGAGAAGTCATAAATGTCTTAGGAAAAAAAACAACCCTAAATTTCTCAGGTAACCTCTTTCGGGCACCTTGTACTTATTCCAGGGATCCAGGCAAAAATATTGTCCGGCCCTCCGAACCATTGTCTTTTCTTCCTTTCCAGTATATTCAGTTAGAATATCTCTTAAAATTTTTCATTCAGTGAGGATTCAAATTGGTTCAGCAGCCATGGACAAGCAGCTGTGCACTTTTTAAAAAACAGCAAGGACCCTTCCACTCTCATGTTTCAGCCTACTTTGTTTACCCTCCCTTCATCCTAGAGATACCTATTGAGATAGCAAGACCAATCAATAGGCAGCAGAACCTAAATTATTTCTTTTCCTGCGTGCCTCTTACCAGGCTGCCGATGGATCACTCGACACAGTTTTTTCCCAGGCTGGGTTTTGTACACAGGCTTCACACACACTTTGTTGGTGCTGCCGGGGATCAGATCTGACAGCAAAACGCTGTGGATCTGCGGTGAAACACTGAGGAGGGTCGAAGGGCCGGCTTGCCGCCGACACAGAACGCGGTAGCCCAACACGTCTCCTTCTGCTGGATCCCAGGAGGCCTTTACAGAGCTGGGGCTCAGATCTTTAAAGTGGAGGTGCTTTATTTTGGAGTATTCTGTCCATTGGAGGAAAGAAGAAAGAAGAGTGAGGATGACTGAGTGGGCTTTCTCCAGCGATGGAGGCAGAAGCGGGATGAAAAAAAAATATCAGAATTTGTGCTGGGATCAGCCAGGAGAAAATCGGGCGAGGGATGTTGGCATCCTAGCCAAAGGCTGACAATCCATCAGCCTTATTCTGCAGCTTCTTCTTCCCTCCCTCCTTTCTTTCTTTCTTTCTTTCTTCTTTCCTACTCACCTTCCCGCGTGCAGGCTTTAGCGGAGAGGGCTTTCTCCTTGCCAGATTTGTAAATGGCAGATACCGTCACCAAGTAGCTGGTATTGGCCAGAAGGTTTTCCAGGACGGTGCTATTGAGCCTGCCGTCCACCTCTTGCAGCTGGACCAAATTGTCATTCAAGGGACCATACATGACTTGATAGGCAGCCACGCTCTCTAGGATGGGAGACCAGCTGACCCGGATGCTGTGGGGTTTGGACTCCGAGATCAGAATCTGGGCTGGGCTGACCACCTCTGCGGAGAGAAGCAACGCAATAAGGAAGAGAGCCTGACCGGATCGAAGTTTCTCGTATTTTTTTTTTTTATACACAATTTTTTACTGCAGAAATGTTTAAGGAGAGGAAAGAAACAAAGAAAAGAAGACCTAAGAATGAAGAGCTAAGAGAGAAAAATGAGGCCATGGCCTTCTGATCTTTTTGACAGCAGTTATAAATGTGCAAAGTAGCCTTTGACATACGACTCCAAAATTTCTGTTGCTAAGCGAGACACTTGTTAAGTGACATTTGCCCCGTTTTATGACCTTTCATGCCGCAGTTGTTAAGTGAATCGCCGCACTTGTTAAGTTAATAGCACGCTTGTTAAGTGAACCCGCCTTCCCCCCCCGTTGACCTTGCTTGTCAGAAGGTCGCAAAGGGGGGTCACGTGACCCCGGGACACTGCGAGGCTGTCCTAAGTATGAATCAGTTGCCAAGCATTTTAAATTTTGATCATGTGACCACGGGGATGCTGTAAAGCTTCTAAGGGTGAAAAACGGTCCGAAGTCCCTTTTTTTTTTAGTGCCGTTGTAACTTTGAACGGTCACTAAATGAACTGCTGTAAGTTGAGGACTGCCTGCGTTTATATTTTACTCTGAGTTTACATCAGAATCTCCTCCTTCCATCAGCTGCCCTTTCTAATTGCCAGACCCATGAATCACGTTCTTTTTTTTTTTTTGTTCTTTTTTCAGCCAAAAGTCCATAAGAGGTTTCCAGTCAGCCTAATTTCCATTGGGAAGCTTTAGCCCTAGGTTGTAGCCTGTGGAAAAGCTCACATCTTGGCCCGTCCAGTCAAAATAATCAGAAATTCAGGCCTCAACCACCACTGATAACCAGAGCTACCCAGTGGTGGGATTCAAATAGGTGAACAACCGGTTCTCTTGTGTGGATGCCACTTCCGGAAGTCCATTCTGGGCCTGGGCAACAAAATAGCTACCGGTTCTGCCAAACTGATGCGAACCGGCTGAATCCCACCACTGGAGCTACCGTAATGAACAATGACAAGGCGGGACCGAGCCAGTCAAGATGTATATTCTTAAAAATTAACCCCCCACGGGGTCATTTTTACCTTCCAGCGTGGTGACCCTGGTGGTTTGTGGCGGGATGTACTTCTCGTTGGATTCTGGGATGAGAGCAACCTCATAGGTGGTTTCTGAGTCTAGCTGTGTCACCACAGTGCTGGTGTGGTCACCAGTGAGTTGTCTGGTCACCTTCCGCCGGGGTTGGCCACTCGGGGCATACTCCAAAATGTAGTAGCCGGTGTCCCGTGTCAGGAGCTGGGGCCACGTGAGGCGGAAGCTGCTTGAGGAGATATCTGTGGCTCTCAGGCACTTGGCTTGGATGGCGGCTGGAAGGGAAGAGAAGAAAGAGTTGGCTGTCTACCTGCCACAGGGTTAGCTTAGATTAGGGGGGTCCCCAACCGTGGCAACTTTAAGACTTGTGGACTTCAACTCCCAGAATTCCCCAGTCAGCGTGGGACATTCTGGGAGTTGAAGTCCACCGGTCTTAAAATGGCCAAGGTCGGGAGATCCCTAAGCTTAGATGGTTGCCACCTTCGTTCCTCTCTTATTAGAAGTTGCCAAACTTAGTTTTAACGCGAGTTCTTTTTCTAATCTGGGTCTTAGTTATATGAAGTCAGGCCCTTTGGTGGAGAGGTGATTGAAGGTGCAAACCCATAACTGTATAATGCTTTTTGATAGACCAAATCTAAGAGTTTATAATGCTTATGCTAGATCACGTATAATAGGTTTTCATACACGCTAGACTGAATTAGACCTTCCGTGCTTGTGTTGGATCAACTCTTTTCCTGGCAGTTAGGATCATAGAATCGTAGGGCTGGAAGGGAACTCGGAGGTCTTCTAGTCCAGCCCTCTGCCCAGGGCAGGAGACATAGACCTTATATTGAAGGGTTGTGTGGAGGAGGTTTGTGGTGTACAAGATAATGCCAAAAAGTGGGTAGGATTATGTTACCTGTATGATTTTATATTCAGGTCTAGTGGGTAATGTTCGTTCCCCCTCCTGCAATATTTTTTAACCTCCCTTTTCGCTGCTTATCCACTCTTGAGTATCTACTGGTGCTTCCTTCTGTTTGGGCCTTTTGAGATCTGAAGGACCTGTAGCTTCTTAGAGAGAGCCTGTCTCTTGCGTGCAAACCAACAGAGCTATCTCCAGTTTCCACCCTTTGGGAACTTGCTATTAAAAAAAAGGAACAAATGGGGAAGGGGCTGGAGTGTAATTTGCATGATATGAAATGTGGAAAGATGCTTTTAGAAAGCAGGTGTGTATCTCCGATCTTGCCAGCCGATGGCAGCAAAGACAGCAACTGCAAGGATGGGAGATTTTCAAAGTTCCCTCTGAGCCCCCCAAAATATAAGCATTAAACAAAATGCTAGAGTCTTACCATCATCTACTGGATTGAAATGTCTCTAAGTCCCAAATTAGATCTCCAAGGAGACACTTACACTGCGTTAAATGTGTAAGTCCCATATTACATATGTAGATTTATGTAATGCATGAAGGTGTGTCATCTGTATAACCTTAAATCCTCTTTCTTGTTTGTATTTTTACACGGTCTGGGTTGTAGACTTCCTTATAAGCCCCTGTGAGCAGGTCTGTATCCCCACAGAGAATCCAGCCATAAATCAGGGTTTTAAAAGCAACCACCAGATCCTTCAATCTTCTTGTTTAGCCTCCTAGCCTTGTTAAACCCATCTCTGAGGGTTTGCTATAGAAACATGGTTTTTATTTTACAAGCTAGTTTCACAAAGATCCATGGTACTCAGTTGCAAAAAAGAGAGAAGGAAGGAAGGAAGGAAGGATAAACAAAAATATCTTGTGGAACTTGAAAGAGCTTATTATTGATTTACTATCACATGTGCCTTTCTGGATTGCTATGCAGTGATTCTCTGGACTGACAGAAACGCCACAAAATTAATAGTTTTTCATCCACAGAAGGAAGGAGAAAATCTCTCTTGCCAACGAACTGTTGCTTTTGGTTACCACCAATACTTTTGGCAGCTAACCACGGCAAGTTAGTGCCAATGAGCTGTGGCCACTGAAGTCCAAACAACAAAGCCAGTTGGGTGAGCTGGGAGGCCTGTGCCTTGAATACAAAATTACAGCCTCAGGTTTAATGAATGTGAGTAAGCTGTATTTGCTTTGGATGAAGCTTCGCCTAGCCCAGAATATTCTAACCGCATCCTGCAGGCCCTGGATTTGTAGGTTTCCCACCCAAACAAGCAGTCTGGACTCATGTCTATTCAGGTCTGGCTGCTGAATGCAGGTCTGCACAGTTTAAAGTTTCAAAATGCCAGGTGTGGCTCCAATCTCCGAGAAACAGACTGCAGTGGGTCATAGCTGTGTTCCAGTATCTCAGGGGCTGCCCCAAAGAAGAGGGAGTCAAGCCGTTCTCCAAGGTGCCTGAAGGCAGGACAAGAAGCAACGGGTGGAAACTAAGCAAGGAGAGAAGCAACCTAGAACTAAGGAGAAACTTCCTGACAGTTA